TACCTCGCGCGACGCTCGTCTCTCTCTCTCTTCTCTCTCTCTCTCTCTCTCTCTCTCTCTCTCTTTCTCTCGCTCTCTCTCGCAAAGTTTTAATGAAATGAAAGGAAAAACTCGGAGCAAAGTTGGGACGCTATGTTACGTCACACGAACTAAAACTTATAAAACTTGTGGAGTCTTCATCCACTTGTCTTGCCTGTGTACTAACTTTGGGAAATACGGTAGCGAGATATTTGCGTGATAACCGCGTCCAGAAAAATTAATATATAAAAAAACAAAGTGTAACGCACACTTCGAAATCGCGGTGATGCGAGCGTAAACATAAATTAAAGCAGAAGAGATTTACAATCCCTTTTGGCTACCGACATAAATGAAAACATGCACAAGAAACTATCTTGATAAAGGACAATCACATTACGGAAATTTTAATTAGAGAAAAACCGTTTCCAGCTCTTTCCCTTTTAAATGTGACAGGGAAGAGCTAACTAAAAGAACATTATGGCTAATTTGAAAATTAAATTAAATTAAGTACCGCTTTCGTAATGGGCTTGTCAAATGTAATATTCGATATTTTCAATATCAAAGGAAAATTCGATAAAATGTTAAATTATGTTGGAAAAACGCTGACAAAAGGATATTGAAATAATATATAATTAGCTCCTAGATTATTGATTGGTCGTTTTAATGACAAGTTAAATTTACGAAATTATATATACACATGCTTAAGATTGATTAACTAACTATATATAGGGAAATTACGGTAATTCCGTTATCACGTTCCACGTTGATTTTAACTATCGCGGCGCGATATGTCTATATTCAACGGAATCGTTAAATCTTGAAAGATAGCTTATTATTAAATAGACAATCGAACAGTATTACCTGTTGCTGCGTAACGATTCGTTGATGTCCCGAAAGGTCTGCTTCTGAAAATGAAGAAAATTTCATGATAAATATTTGCGAGCGCTGACACTATTTTTAATTTTGATTGATTGATAAACGACACAAATATTAACTATCGAGTCAGATCTTTCGAAGAGTTTGCGAAACGAGCATTCAGATTTAATTTCTGCTTTCAGGTATCCATCACCGGTGCAGAATGGAGGACCAAATGGTACGACGACAATGAGTTGCGCGAGTTCTCAAGGTAAGGATAAAAGACCTGTTGTCGTCGGACATCGGCACGAATTTCTCTGCGAAAGATTCAAAAACAATTCCACTAATTTAATGCGCCGCGCAACGTTCGCGCGTTCGTTGCATTTAATTACTACCAACCGCGCACCTGGAAATAAAGCCGCGACTCGCAATAAAAATGGAGAGGGAAAGAGAGAGGGAGTGGAAGGGAGAGGGAGAAAGCGGCGTGCCGACGCTCATTAATTAGCGGGTCCCGAAAAAATTGCCCGGCGAAATTTTCTTCCGATTAAATTAGCGTTGCATTAAATTTATTGGCTGAATTCTCTTTCATAAACCGGCGCGCGAGTCGATCGCGTGCGCGCGGATCGCGAACTCTCTCGCTCGCTCGTGCCGCTCGCGTTTGGCTCTCGTACGTGTATAATTTGCAAATATCAAACGTCGGGCGGATATTTGAAAATATTGACTCTGGTATTTTAGCCGGGCTGCGGCGCGCGGTCGGGCACTCTCTCGCCATTAAAGGGAGGGGGGGGAAAAAAATTATCCGCCTCATGACGATTCAATATCGCGTGATTATCGCAGCAAAAGGATACCCAGAGAGAGAGAGAGAAAGGTAGTACCCACGCGCGGATCAGATACAATATTAATTTTATATTTTTCGCTATGTGACACAAGCGCGCGTGCAGTTAGAGAGAGAGGAGGGGGGGAGGGGGGGACGAATATGCACGTGTGACGAACGTGCGGTCGCCGCGACTCACACGTATACGCACGTGCGTGCACGTACACACACGTTTCACTGCAAAAAGCTCGTCCCTGCGTTTATTCGCGATTGCAAGCGAGCCATTAAACAGATTCGCATGGAATTTCACGACGAAAAAGGGTCGGTGAGGCGCTCGGAAATTGCGCGGAACGCGCAATCAATGAAAAAGCTTCATTTTAACGCGAGCTTATTACGAAATTAATTTTCATTATAATGGGATTCTCGCAAGTATCACGCGCCTTTCTATACTCGCGATCCTTTTGTGCCGCGTGTTTGTCGTATACCAGGATACACACGGTATCCCCAGAAATTGCAGACTTTCGAAGCGTAGATATCGCGCGGGGGTCTTTACAAATACAAATCCAATTTTCATCGCGAGCTTTGTCGGAACAGCGAGGACTCATCGTCGCGATGATCGACGACGTAATCTCACGACGTAATTCGCGAAGGAAAGCCGAATCTACTAGCGCGGAGCATGACGAAGCGCGGTTGACGATTTTCGCCCGTTGGGTCTCGAAGCCGGGTCGATATCGTCGGCAATTGGCGCGAAATTGTAAAAAAATATTTCCCGAGAGCGAGACCGACCCGGACAGGTCGCGGCGGACTGGGCGCATGCTATCGCTACCGATGCGTGTGGCGGGCGCAACGACAATCGTGCCGAAATATACGCGCGGGGCAAAATCCGAGGCCAATTACAAACACGCCGTCTCACCGGGCTGTCAGTCATCAATCCGCGGAATATTTTTCTCTGGGTCAATTGAACAATTCTACGCGTCGTCGGACAGCTACGCGAGCGGATGGGCGCGAGTGGGCTGGGTTTTAATGTATTTGCCGTTCCTGGGGGAGGGGGAAGGGGGGGGGGGCTTTCAGCGGCTAACCGGTAAATCTTCTGACGAGCGATTAACTCGTTTCTCTCGGTACTCCTCAGCTATTAAATTACCATCGACGATACCGCCGGCAATAAAACTTGTTCGAGGTGATACTAAACCGAGCGAAAGGTTGCGGCTCGCGGCCCAAGGATTATACAATAATCTCTTAAATCACTTAAATATCTCGTTTATTTATCCTCCATCAAATTATCGGCATTACTTTGCACTTTACTACCGCGGTATATCATAATAATTCCATAGAACTGATTGACAATGTCTTTAGTGACGTTTCGCTCTTTATCGCTGGCTGTTTCGCATCTCGCGATGTTGTAAAACAAGATACATTCATTTACATATCTGATAACTATTTTTATAGAAATTTAGCATATGATTAAACTTAAATTAGACGCAATTGTGAAATTTTCATCAGCCAATAAAAATAATTCTGAATACTCTTAGAATTTCATTTGAGAAATGTGAAAAGTTACTTTGCACAATCCTGTCAAGAATTTTATTTTTCGTCAGCGGTACATAGCGGCGGTAAATTTCGTCTCGATGGGAAGCCGTAGGAGAAAGTTACAACTTATCGAGCTTTTCCCGATTTCAAAGCCCTAGAAAAGATAAATTCGATCGTTTGAAAAAGTTGGCGAACAAATATCGAAAGTTCGAAGCACACTTTGATTCCGGGCAAACCGCCCGGCAGCTGCGTCTGACCTGAGTTGAAGATTCAACTGGTGCCTGTTTATCTGTAGCTGCTGAGATTAGACGGCACTCGATGAGTCACTCGTTTGCTCTCTCTCAGTTATGCGAAGGAAGTATTTTACAATACAATGAGACGAGATGAGGATGACAGGAGTTCCCGTGCGAATTAATAGCGCGATAATTCGAGTTAGTTAACGTGTACGCGGGATGAAAATAGAAGAAACACTTGGGGAAATGATTAACGAGCCGTCACGGGAGTCTGACGTCTCTGTTGCGCTGAGGAACTAAAATTAGGCGAAAGAAGTCTTGTTCCACGATTTATCACAATGTAAACATAATTTTAATACAAGTAAAACGTAATTCCATGGATACTCGTTACGAGCGTCCCGTCAAATAATTCCCAAATTATTCGTTTAATTTTTTTTGGCATCTTTTTTTTCCTTAACCCTTTAAAACGGGGAAATCGGGGATGGAAACGAGAGAGTTATTATCGCGCGCGGCTATAAAGAGTTAATCACCGCAATAACTAACGCGGCACGCGGAACGTCATCGCGCAAAAATTATGTTTCGCTTCCCGGGACATTTGGAGAGCCTCGCGCTATCGAAGCGCGACGTACACGAGCGAGATGCTAAGCAAGCCGAAAATCTAAAGGGCGTCGCCCTGTCCTTGTCTCTGTGCGCAGGGGTGATGGTGAAGCAGGAGGCGAGGGACGACGGTTACGAGACGAGTCCGGACCTCGAGATGAGAAGCACCGGCGGTGACAGCAGTCAGCAGTATCACACGCCGCTGACACCACACACGCCGCACACACCGCACACGCCGCACACGCCCCTCACGCCGATATCGGCGACAGCGCATCAACCCCAGCAGCCGGGCTCGACCGCCTCCGCCCTCGGACAGGTGAGTTTTTCATATTCGCCTATCCTGCATATTCCCCTGTCCCTGACCAACCCCGTCTCCCGTCCGCCTTCCGCTATCCCCGTTCTTTCCTCTCTAACTCTTTTACGTGGCGACCAACGTGAGAGAGAGAGAGAGAGAGAGAGAGAGAGAGAGAGAGAGCGCGTGCGCGTATTTAGTTA